AGACAAATAAAAACATTAAAAAACAATAAAAAAATTCAAAAAAAATAATTAACCAACCCACCCACCCACCCCCACCCCACCCCACCCCCTACCCCCTCATTTGTTTTTCATATATAGTAACACACACAAGCCTCTCTCCTCCACGTATTCATTTACTTTGGCATCAGTCCATGAAAACCAGCGAGGAAAATCACACCTCTCAAACCCCAGATTCCCAAACCGTTGACACGATTCTCTCCCTGGTGGTGGCGATGCAAGGCGTCCGCCGCTACGGCCACCTTGGAGACGGCGGCGGCGGAGTCCGCCTCGAGCTCACCCCAACCACCATCTCCCCACTCGCGATCGACGTCGCCGAGTCCACCGAGATGCGCATCCAGCGCCTCATCTCCGAGAATCCGGTCGTCATCTTCAGCCGATCCTCCTGCTGCATGTGCCACGTCATGCGCCGCCTCCTCTCCGCCATCGGCGTCCACCCCACCGTCATCGAATTGGAGGAAGAAGAGATCGCCGCCTTCAGCCCCCGCGCCGACGAGGACTCCTCCCCCGTCCTCGGCGGCGCGTCTGGTGCGCCGGCGCTTTACATAGGCGGCGCGTGCATCGGTGGGCTGGAGAGCCTTATGGAGCTGCACTTGAGTAACAATCTCGTGCCTAAGCTTGTTGAAGTTGGTGCTCTGAAAAATGAATTTCTAATTAGCTGATTTTTTTTTTTTTAATTATTATTTTGTGATTATTGATGCTACTACTAGTATTATTATCATGATTTATTAGTCATTAAAAAAAAAGACTAAAAATATATTTCTAAGTAGTTTTCTCAATTATTCTTCTAATTATTATTATCGCTGTAAGATTGTGAATTAGTGTTTTCCCAGATTGGTATTTGCAATTAGACAGAAGTTTTTAAGTTAAATTATGATTTATGATTTACCTATATTAAATATTGGAATTAATGAAAATTTGTAAGATTAGTGTGACGAAATGATGTACTCTCTTTCTTTAATAATAAGAATTTTATTGCAAATTTATATATTAGCATGAATATTCCAACAACTGTGGAGGAATATTCTTGAGAGCTTGTTTAATGTTCATAGTTCCTGGGAAATTATTCTAAGGCAAAATTTAATTGTTTGTTGCGAACTACTTTTGACTGCTAAATAGTAGTAAGAATTTTTTTCTCTGATTTTTAATGTTGTCCTAATTATGGTGGCATCCACACGACCACACTGCAGCTTTTCTTGGCTACTTTTGACAGGTTTTTTTCCTTTTTTATTTTTTTTAATCTTTTTTTATTCCCTTTTTTTTCCAAGTGCACAATTTTTATAACTGTTCGAATATATATAAAAAAATATATAATTTATAAATAGACGATGAATATTTTAGGACACATCAAGAAAGTATAATATATAATTGTGAGCAATAAAGTAACAAAAAAGTACACATAATACATACGTATGTTCAATGATAGATCTAACATTAAGAAAATCAAATTACTAATTTGCTTGCATTAATTATTTATTAAGTCTTACTTGGGAAATATAATCAAGATTCTTTTCAATATAATATGATAACCACATGTAATGTGCCTTACAAAAATTAACATGTAACAAAATTAAGGAGGGGAGAAAAGGACACGTTACATCAGATGGAGAAAAAAATCAATGGAATCTTGATCGACAACAATAATTATGAATTGAAAAAAGGAAAAGTTGAAATAAAGATTCCATGCCCAGTTGCTCTTGACAAAAAATAAATAAGTACTCTCAGTGGGATTTTTTTTTTTTTTTTTTTCCTATTTTGATTTATATTTTGATGGAAATTTATTTACAGAAAAACAAAAATAACGATTATGATCTATATATATAATGCAATTTAAGGGAAATAAAAATACAATTATTGGGTATGACAAACAGACTTTTAATGGGGCATATGATTTAACAAAGATTTTTGTCAGCATTGCATGAGACAATTTAGAGGTTGTTCTGATTGCTATTTTATTATGATTATTATTTATTTATATATTTATTTATATATTTATTTATACACACACACACAAGTAGGCTTGATAGAGAAAACCAAATTGTTGAATATTCTCAACTCCAACACAGTCAGAATTTATTCCTAGATGACATTAATATGATGCAATTGTTCAAAAGAAAATTGTAGATGAACAAGAACTAACTACAGAATTGAAAATACAATATTGCAATTATTTATTTGTTTAATTTCCATTTAGTATTTTATTAATATATTAATTAGTGATGATTATTATATGAAAAAATACAGGTAATTAATTAAATTAATTAATTAAAAAGGCCATGAATACCAAACCCACTAATTGAAACATCTTTCCAAATTAAGGAAAAAGGGAAGATAGGATATATAAAGTCCATTATTAGAGCAAGAAGTTCAACCCCACTTCATTTAATCTCAATGGTTCATTTATATATTATTATTTAAAATTATTAATTATTATTTAAAATTAATTAATGATATTATTACACATAATTTAGCTTTAACTTTTCCTTTGGGTTTGGAATAGACATCTTGTTGTGGCAACAGCAACAACCACAACTTCTACTGTTGGGTGCACCCCCCACACAGGCCCAGAATCTAATCTCTGTGTGACAAATTTTGTTAAAATGGAATCACACGTGGCAGCCGTTTATTGGAAACACAAATGAGTAGGTCCCATGTTAAAACATGAACATGATCAAGAAAGAATCTACAACTCAAAATCTCACAAAAAGAAACCTAATAAACTAGCTAGGAGGATGTTGCCTTTCAAAGTTCAAACAGTACTTGCTAATCATTCAAAGATATAATACAGCTTGGATGTATGTATGTACACATTATCACAATTTATAACTATATGTATATATATATATATACACACAATTCGTGTGCATGTATGTGTGTGTTTTTAGCAATTGTTAATTAAGGAGTAAAAAAGTGAACCACTCGATCCTTAACAAGTTAATTTCAGTCGCATATGAAAGTTATGCGACTGAATTTTACAATCAGCTATCTAAAAATAAATTCACGTGCAAGGCTTCAAAATATAACACGACAGCAAACGAAGGAGGCCATCGAAGAAATAGAATAATTCCCTCAAAAGAACAACTAAAGTAGTTTTAAATTAGATTGTCATTATTCAACATTATGTATATACATATATTAAAGTTCCAATTTCCAAAAGGCACTTTAATTAGGTACTTTATATGTGGTTCCCCAAGTTTTGTTGTAGCTGACGTCATCTTTGCTTTGGCCTTCTTTCCACCTTTTTTCAACAGTCTATTACCTAATTTTGTTCCATGTTTTCTTGCGTAGAGCTGCAAAATGTATTAGATACGTAATTAATTAATTTAATTAATGAGGTGATGAAATAAAACACGACCAACAAATCTGAGTCAAACCCAAATTATGATGGGCCAACTTCAAATTCATTTTCTACACTACCATTAGGCCCATCTTTTGACTAATATATTTACTGACCCAAAGCCCACTAATGTACAAGCCCATTTTCAAATTTGGTAGAGAGAGATCTAGAGAGAGAGAGAGAGAGAGATCTAGAGAGAGAGAGAGAGAGAGAGAGAGAGAGATTCCTCAAATCTTGGATACATTTAATAATCTTTCAAATTAGTTAATGTCCATTGAATAAATGTCATGATTCCTCAAAATTGGTCCAGGCCCAGAACTTGTTGTACGGTCCGTTAAGGCCATCCCTATTACCTGTCATCTAAGATGCACCCAAATTTCCGTGCACGAGTGTTTTCGCGTTTCGGAAACCAAAACTCCATTACATCCGCCCGCAACAACATTTTGTGGTTGTTTTTGTAAATATCTAGAATTTTTGGGGATATATATAATTAAGGCTTTCCCGTGTCCGTTTCGCCGTGTCGACATTCTTGTATCCGGGCTAGTGGCTACATAGCATATTGTCATTCAACTTAGGTTCTTCAATTTCTTTCATTCTTTTTCCTTTTTCTTGATTTTTTTCTCGGTGATAAATAATAATCATATATACGAAATATGTAAACCGAAAGAAACGGATGCCTTCAAGTTTCATACACGTCGGTGTCGAATGTAGTAAAATCAAAATTTTAATAAATAATTAACAAATTAAATAAGTGGACAATACTTTGTATGCATTCTCAGTCGTTGATTTATTTTTCAGGTCCACGCGCAAAGAAAATTTGTAAATAAAAAGTTGGCTGATATAAAATAATATAAAGTCATGGGAGATTAAATTCAGTATGTAAAATGACAAGAATTATTTATTTTTTAAATGTGAAGAGAATATTAATATACTTAAATAAATATTTATGAAGTTATTGAGAAAATGATATATTAAAAACAGGGACAGCATCGCTCCATAGTAAGTCACGTTCTTTTGTTTGATAGCACAATTTGCATTTTGCATATCTCTACTTTATTAATATTATCCCACCTACACATAAATAAATATTATTCTGAATTTTAATTGTTTGTAAAACAAATTAAAGATGAAAATATAGCAAATAAAAAAGGCATGTATGTAATTAACTAATTGTTGTGTATAAATTATATATCATAGAGACACAAAATTCAATGATTTAATTGATCGATGAGCAGAAAGAATAATGCAACAGCTTTCCGTGATTTGATGTCTGTTTTGATTTATTTTATGTAATCTACTAAACCAATCATGTGATCATGGACAAAATTTAATTACTCAATTATTCACTTTTCAACAACTTTTCTTATTTAATCACTAATCAACGTACAATTTATCATCTCATATTCTCATGCATATATATATATGTGTGTGTGTGTATAATATATATATGTATATATATAGAAATGATTCAGTTCTTCTGATCTTCTCTATTGAGATAGTTGATGCATGGTAATTAATAAATAAACAATAAGTATGTATATATGTTTAGTTTGTTGATGTAATAATTTGACTGTATTAATTTAGAGTTTTATAGTTTACTTGTAAGAAGAAAATTGAAATTAAAAAAAAAAAAAAAGGAAAAAAAAATAATAAGCAATAATTGAAGAAAAGGATAAAAACAAAGGAAAAGACAAATTGAAACGTCAGAAAGGCCTGCTGGCCTTGTTGGCCAGCCTTTGGTTTTCCTTTTTGTTGATCATCAACAACTAAAAAGAAAGAAACAAGAGATACATACATACATACATACATTACCTTCTCTCTCTACACTCTCTCTCTCTCTCTCTCTCTCCTGTTTTAATTTCATGTGTATGGCTTTTATCGAATCTTGTTGGTTTTAGCTGCAAATCCAGGTGATGTTTTTATTGATAAAGTCTAAATAAGATATGGAAATTGTTACACTATAAATATTTTTTTGGAGCTGTTTAATTGCAGTCAAAAAACAAACTTTAACATATATATAGCTAGTACTGTTTTTCTTCTTCTTTATCAATATAAATATACACACACACACGTATGTGTGTGTGTGTGTGTGTTCTGAATGTTTAGTCATGTTTGTGAACAGGATATGGGAGGAAAGTGATGATGGCCTGTGTGCAGATTTATGAAGAATGAAAGGCATTAATTAATTACATACATACTACTGAGTATAGATATATATATAGCTACACAGCTTTGTATATATATAGGAGAGAAGAGACTGTACTCCTGAAATTGACCTTTCTGTAATACCTTTCATCAGCTTCCACTTTCTGCAACCCTTTCCAATTTTAGGGTTTCTCTCTGCACACAATTATTCCCTTCTCTAAATTCAAGAAAACCTACCTAGCTGCCCACCCCTCTAATCTACTCTCAGCTACAATAATCTACATATACATATATAAAATATTCTAAATATATATATATATAGAAAATAAAAAAAGAAGATTTTGAGAGAAATATGTTAGGTGCAGTAGTGGATGAAAATAGTACAATGTCAAATTTAACATCTGCAATATCAAATGAAGCAAGCATTTCTTCAACAAGCAACATCAATACTATTATTCAGACAACCCAATTACAACCTCCGAATTCCAAGAAGAGAAGAAATCTCCCAGGCAACCCTGGTAATAATTAATCAATTAATTAATTATTTATTCATTCTTACAAAATATTAATAATTATAATTTAATTTGTAGATCCGGAGGCGGAGGTGGTGGCGTTATCTCCAAAATCACTAATGGCGACGAACAGATTTGTGTGCGAGATATGCAGCAAAGGGTTCCAGAGAGACCAGAATTTACAGCTGCACAGAAGAGGGCACAATCTGCCATGGAAGCTGAAGCAAAGGAGCAAACAAGAAGTGGTAAGGAAGAAGGTGTACGTTTGCCCTGAACCCGGATGTGTGCACCACGACCCGGCGAGAGCGTTGGGAGATCTAACTGGTATCAAGAAACACTTTTCGAGAAAACATGGCGAGAAGAAATGGAAGTGTGACAAGTGCTCCAAGAAATATGCAGTCCAGTCTGATTGGAAAGCTCATTCCAAGATCTGCGGTACTCGCGAGTATAGATGTGATTGCGGTACTCTCTTTTCCAGGTATGTATTTATTTATTTACCCACCGTTTTTTTTCCATCAGCTTCTTAATACAGATTTTGATTTCCTGGTTTTACAATTTTTTTTTTCTCTTTCTTTGGTTGTAGATCAGAAAAAGCAATTAATTAGTTGTAGCATTGATTAAAGTGAAAATTCTTCACCTGTTTGTTTTTCTGTCTAGCTTAGCTAGTAGTACCTTTTCAGAAAAACACAAAGGGTTGACGACTCTCTCTCTCTCTCTCTCTCTCTCTCTACCCGTGTGTGAGAGAGAGTGGGAAAAGAAAGATTTTTTTTTAAGTTTTTCAAGAAATGATGACTGTACAGTAGTTCTAGAGTTGAGAGAGAAATTGAAAAAAGCATATAATTATATATATGGATTTGTTGTTTGTTTGTGTTTGTTGCTTAGCGTTTGTTGTTTGTAATGAAATTAAAAAAACAGGAGGGACAGTTTCATAACACACAGAGCATTCTGCGATGCATTGGCAGAAGAAAGTTCAAGATCAATCACACGTGATCTTCATAACCCTCTTCATTTCTTGTCTTCCCAAACACCCCCTATTAATAACAACCAACCTCATATCCATGGCGGCGCCGCCTCCGCCTTCCACCACCCATTCATCCCATCACTCAAACAAGAAAACCAGACCACCTTCAACGTCCACCAGCTTCCGCCATGGCTATCACCTCTCCATGAACAACACCACCACCACCAACCCTTGTTCAGTACCTCACAGCCATCAATTGTTCAAGAAAACCCTAACCCTAACACCACCACCACCACCGCCGCCGCCGCCGCCGTTGCCGGAACTTCTACTTCTTTAATGTCGGCCACCGCTCTGCTGCAGAAAGCGTCGCAAATGGGGGTGACTATGAGCACGAAAACGGGCCATCATCATCAGTTTTCTGGTGAATCATCTGGTGGTTTAATTATGAACAGACCCCATAATATTCAGCAGCACGTGGGTGCACCGGGTTTCTATGCTACCTCGTCCACGTCGACTAATAATACAAGTACAGCTGGCTTACTGCCGTCACGTGAAGATATGGGAACAGACTTGTTTGTGCATGGCTTGGCGTCTTTCGGGAACAAGCTTGCTAACGTCCCCACTGGTTGCATGCAACTTCAAAATAATAATAATATTAATAATAATAATAATGGCAACAGCTTTCTGGCATTTGATCAAGATAATTTTGATGGAATGTTGAACCAACAGAGAAACGGTGATTATAGTTTTCAAGAAGATGCCCATTTGATCATGAGTACTGCTGCTGTAAGGAAAGCAGGTGGTGGCAGCGGCGGTGGTGGTGGTGGTGGTGCCGCTAACGGCGGCGGTGGTGACGACGGTATGACAAGGGATTTTTTAGGGCTAAGAGGATTTCCGGATAGAGATTTTCTGAATATGGCTGGTTTTGAACAAATGGGATCTTCATCTAATAATTATGATGATCATCAACAAGCTCAGAATCAAGATCCATGGCAGAGTTGATCATTACAGATAATGCTTTGCTTTGCTTGATTTTTATTTTATTTATTTAATTAGTCTATTTTGATCTCCATATTTTGTTGTATTTCATCAATTTTTAGTTCTATGGAGGGGCTAATTAAGCTCCCTTTTATTGTAATAATACTCATATAATTGCAATTATTGTTGTTCTAGCTTTTTTCACTTCAGTCATAATTAGCATTTCTTTTTGTTATTTTAAGTGTGAGAATTTATATTAACTGGACATATATATTAAAGATTATGTCTTTTAATAAATTTTTTTGGACAAAAAAAAAATAATATTTCAATAAATATACTACATATTTATTAAAAAAAAAAGCTAGAATATTTTAGTATATATATTATTGCTAAATGAACATTTCATCATATACTATAGTTGATGGACCAAATATATAATATCTCAGTAATAAGTAATATATGTGACAATTTGTAATAATGCAATTTCAAGAACAATATTGTAAGATGATGAATTAATATAGGGATATTCTGAAAAAAAAAAAAAGGATACATAAATTAAATAAATGGAGAAACAATGTGGTGTGATATTCTGAAGAAGAAAAGTGTAGATATATATATGTATTCTAATTGCATAATTCTTGTGATTGCCTTAGCTTTAGAAGGGAAAAAGTTAAGCAACTTTTCCCAATATAAAGAAGAAGCATTGCGTACGCTGGTGTTGATTTGTAGTACTCACTTCAGGGGTTTTCCTGTTTCCTTCTCTCTCTATAATATACATGTTTCTTTCTCTCTCTAGCTATATATGTATATTGAGTGAGATTCTTTACAAGCATCATATAATTGTACCATTTTCCCACTTTTATGGTACATTTCTTCTTTGCATGTCACATATATCTTTTCATGTATACACCACACATAGTAAATGTCACTCTCGTGTAATAGCCTGTAAATTAAAGTATTATAATCAGCTAACCAAATATATCGATTTTATCACGGTTTGATTCCTTTCGGTTCATGTTCAATTTTTAATTTTTTTTAACATATAATTTACAATCTATTACAAATGGCATTCAGTACATCCATAATTAGGTGGTGTTTGCAAATAAACCTGAGTTAAGACGTCGGGATTAAATGTGTACTTGTAAACATTGGGGTGTTTGCAAATACGTCGAAAAATCAATTTTAAATAGAAATAACAGATTCATGAGTGCTTTTCAAATTGCAGCTTAACACAACTTATCTTTTTGGAAAGAACGAAAATACTATTTGGAACGGTTCGGAATGGCTCGACTTTCATATTTTTCGTTCGATTTTGCTATTTGCGGGTGGGTGGTACAAGTTGGAATGAATGTTGTACCTTAATTGCTAATAAGTGGGGCGATAAAAGCTTAATAAAAAATTGGCCCAATATAAATTAATTGGGCCAAGAAATATCCAGAAGAAAAATTAATTGGAAACAAATATGCAATTTAAAAGCCCATTCAAATCGGATAAAGCGTGAATCAAGTGCTTTTTATAAATTATAAAGATAAGAGAAGCACGATTACAGTAGAAGAGATACCGCGATTTCGATCATTGTTGAAAATCAGCACAACCAACGAACGAAGAACAGATACCAATGTCGGAAAATCAACAGGATCAATCCCTCAAACCCGTAGGTGAGTATTTTCTGCAACAAAATATCATAGATTCAGTTCAATCTGGTTGCGATTAAGTTTCATAATTGATTATCCAATGTGGGTTTCTGCTTTAATTTTACAATATTCTACCTTTTCTGTAATCTGTTTAATTAAAGAACTGAGAATTTGTGTAATCTGTTCATTTGTGATTTATCTGGTTAGCTGGAACTGGAAATTGAGCAGCGATTTTAGTATTAAATTTATCCTTTGATTTATGAGCTTTAAAAATTTAATGGGTATTTTCATTTTTTTTTTCTATTTATTTAATTTTTGCCAGTGGTAGAGCACAGGAGAGTAGTAATACAGAACAGCCATGGTGAAAATCTTGTTGGGATATTACACGAAACCGGGTCCCGTGAGCTTGTCGTTATATGCCACGGATTTCGATCTACAAAGGTGTATGTATGATCTTGTCAAATTATTCCCACATCATGTTATTAGGACATTTATTTTTAGTTTGTCTTAATTCTCTTCAAAATTTAACTAATATTCGTAACTTTCATCAGGAACGTATTCCTATGGCGAACCTTGCTTTTGCTTTCGAAAGAGAAAAAATTAGTGCTTTCCGCTTCGACTTTGCTGGTAATGGGTAAGTCATGGTGAAATTAGTGCCTTATATATCGACTACCTCTTTTTTGTGTCAAATTTCATAAAAATAATTTTTTTAAAATTTTAATTTTCAGGGAGAGTGAAGGTTCGTTTCAATACGGGAATTATTCTAGAGAAGCTGAAGATATACGTGCTGTAGTCGAGCACTTTAAGAGTGAGCAACGTTTGTTAACAGCAATTATTGGGCATAGTAAAGGTATTGATCATACACGTTTCCTTTTTGACTCTGTTGTGAACTTTCTTGAATGTTGGGATAAGTTCTTACAGGAGGGAATGCTGTGCTTATGTATGCATCAAGGTACAATGACGTACGAACAATTGTTAATATCGCGGGGCGTTTTGATTTGAAGAGAGGGATTGAAGGTCGTTTGGGTAAAAACTTTCAAGAAAAAATTGAGCAATTCGGTTTTATCGATGTGGAAAACAGAAGAGGTGAGTTTGTTACTACGATGTCCGTTTTTCTTACATTAACCACAATAAGAAGTTGTCTTCGACTTCATTTTCTGTCTTATTGTAGACTTATACGCACCTTGTGATATAATGTAGGAGAAATCGAGTATCGAGTAACTAAAGAGAGTTTGGTTGACCGTCTGGCAACAGATACTCGTTTAGCATGCCAAAAGATCCCTCTATACTGCAGGTTTGATATAATCGAAAGAAGTGCAAAACATGAATTCTTCGGTAATTAGTGACCTTTTTTGCAATTTAATTATGCAGGGTGTTGACGATCCACGGTACGGTTGATGAATTTGTACCGGTGGAAGATGCAAACGAGTTCGCCAAGTATGTACCTAATCACAATTTGTGTATAGTTGAAGGAGCTGATCATGAGTACACAAAGTATCAATCTTTGTTGTGTTCAATTGTGCTGAATTTTGTGAAGACGGGTATATCTAAAGACGAGTCGTCGCCCTCGTGTACAAAGAAAAAGAATATCGATTCCCGCCTCTAACTCTTTTTCAATTTTCGAATATTAGATTGATGCATACATTGCAGACTATTTATTTATCTTATATAAAAATTACACAATTGCTTGTAAATGTATAAAATCAATAGAGCCTCAAATTTTTGGTCCTCAATCATACATAATTTCAGTGGTAAGTAACTATTAGTACAACACAATGCTACAATTTCATCTATCAGAAAATACCCAAAAAATAAAATTAAAAATAAATATATATTGGATCTTGTTTAGGCTGCAATAGTCTTGGGCTTAACTCCAATCTTTCTCCAGGAAACGCTAGGCATTATCTGTTTCGTGTCAACACGATCCTTATACTGGACGGTAAAATTGAGCAACGAGTCGATAAGAGAATCCGATAGAAGATGAGGCTTAAGACCTAATTCCACGAGCTTAGTGTGCTTAGCATTATAGTAATGCTCCTCCAACTCCACCCTCGGATTAGGCACAGATATCGTTTTCACCTCAATCCCCAGTTTCTCACCCGCCTTTGTAACCAAAGATGCCAGCTCATTCACCGAAAATTGCTCAGTAAATTGATTAAAAACACGAAACTCCCCCCTCTGTGCTGGATTCGCTATAGCAATCTCAACGCATTGAACCGTGTCTCTTATATCAAGATATCCCCTTGTCTTCGAATAGAAAAAACAAATTGAAATCAAGAACCATAATATACTGAAAAATCAAGAAAATGTGGTTAATGAGAAAAGTAATTAATTAATTAATTACCTGGCCACCTTTGCCATAGACAGTAAGTGGATGACCAACAGCAGCCTGAACACAAAACCGATTCAACGCAGTTCCAAAAACACCGTCGTAATCGAATCTATTACAAAGCTCCTCATGCATGGCCGTTTCATCGGTTCTCACGCCATAAACAACACCCTGGTTCAAATCGGTTGCTCTAATTCCCCAAGCCTTACAAGTAAACGCAATATTATGAGAATCGTGCACTTTACTCAAATGATAGAATGAACTAGCCTGCTTCGGATAAGGCAAAGTATCTGTCCTCCCATTATGAGTAATCGTTATAAAACCCTCCTCGATATCAATATTGGGTGTACCATACTCTCCCATGGTCCCTAGTTTCACCAGATGACAATCCTCTCCAAATTCTTTAATAGCAAATAAAACGTTGAGTGTACCTATCACGTTATTGTGCTGCGTGTATACAGCTCTAGATCTATCAATCATGGAGTAAGGAGCGGATCTTTGTTCTCCAAAGTGGACCACAGCATCGGGTTTAAATGAGGTGAAAGCTTCTGATAAGAACTCGAAATCGCAAATATCACCGACGAAAAGTTGGATGTCTTTGTCGGTGACGGATTTCCAGCGACGGATTCTGTCGTGGATGGATGATATCGGAGTGAGGGATTCAAGGCCTAGTTGGTGGTCGAAATAGCGACGAACGAGGTTGTCGACAATGGCAACTTCGTAATTCTTGTTGGATAGATGGAGGGCGGTGGCCCACCCACAATAGCCGTCGCCGCCTATTACCATGACTTTCTTTCGGGCAGGAGCTCCGTTGGAGGTCTCGTGGGACCCGGATCCAGGCTCCACCTTGGTTTCTTGACCAACGGAAACGGAGTTTACATGGAGAGCACGGTGTTTTTGTGATGCATTGTTTGCTCGAAGAGAAAGTGTTTTTTTGAGGGGTGATTTAGAAATAGGGCAAATAATGGATGAAGAGGATGTAAGGGAGAATAGGGTTAAGGGTTTGCTGTATGATTTGCTGCCAGAGGAGATGCTTAAAGAAGAAGATACTGAGAGTAGATGTGCCATAACTTGAAGCTATAACTGGAAAAACAGAAACAGAGTGATGATTATATTTTCTCCCAAATGGATGAAAATATTCACAGTAAACTAGCCAGCCAAAAATCAAGAAATTAGATTCCTCACTGTTTTCTTTCTTCTGGACATTTACTCAAACACAATATATGCATGGAATTTTATTTTTATCAGAAGTTGTGGGAGCTCAATCAACATACAGCAGAACACATTGGAATATCAGAGAAGAGCAAAAAGCAAGTAGATGCAGCTCAGTTAACAGATTATACTTTTCAGTTTAAAAAAAAAAAATTTATGTAGAATTTGGTATTTTAGTTATCCATTTGGGCACAGTACACTTCACTGAAGAACAGAACGCAAAATTAGGAGAGAGAAAGAGTAAAGAAGATAGAAAATGTTAAGTTCCGAATCGAAATATGCAGCATGAACCATCTTACGCTCTTGTTTATCAAGATTCGAGGAAAATTTGAAAACTTGGATAATTAAAGTACAGTTAATGAAAAATTGAAATATATATATATATATATAAACAAAAAAATTAAAAATAAAAAAAAAAATTTACCCAGTTTAGAAGTGTATCGCCAATCAAAGCAAGAATCGTGGAAGGAGAAATTATAGAGAATGGTGTTGCTTTCTTTGGCTTCTGTTTTAAGGAGCATAAAATGCGAAGTTGAGGGGGGATATTCTTCACATCTCAAGAACTTTGGACGGCAAAATTACTTTTAAGTCCCTATGGCTTTTATATATTGTAAAAGGCACCCTAAATTATTATAATTGAGTCCTGAAACTTTTTGAAATTATATTATACATGCATGCCACCAAGATTATATAATCCATCTTTTTTTTTTATATAATTCATATTAATTGACTTTTTAATGACACTTAACAAAATGACAAATATATTGTGACGGAATAATAGTGTGTGCCATTGTCAGCCCATATAAACAATGGGCCTCTAAGTCTAGTTTTGTTTAAGCCCATTAATTTGTAATTCTTCAAATTTTATGTTTGGATATTTCAAGTAATGAGTTGCGGTTTCTTCTCGGCCCAATTTGGATACGTAAAAGAGCTGAGTCGGCTCGTGAATTCGACGAGCCGATTCGATACAATCTCAAACTCGAGCTCGAGCCCGATTATAATTGTTCGACATCCCGCGAGCTTCTTATTAGTTTTTTTTTTCTTTTATATATATATATTATACAATAAAAATTATTATTATTAAAAAATAGAATTATTTTATTAATAGACTAATTATTTTTAGAGCTCGAGCTTACAAAGCTAATACGAGTTCAATCTCGAGCCAGAAAATCTCAACTGGTTTGAAATTTCCATCATAATTTCTTCCCACCAAAAGCATTCAAAAATATCAATAATAAAAAAAAAAGAAAAAGAAAAAGAAATAATAGGGAAGATATTTTTGTGAGGGTGAGAAGGGATATGCTGTATGCATGTGCATATCCCTACTTGGGAATTGCAACCAGACAAGCAGTAGGCCATACCCACATCTTTATTTTGTACATCAAATTAATTATCTCTTTATTTTCCCAAAATATTAGTCTTATTTTTTGTTTAATACTATTTAACCTATACCTATATCCTTTTAATTTTAGATATTTAATAAATTAGATAACATGCAAAAAACAAATGTTTGTTAGAAAAGTTAAAACAGTTTTACCTCACCAATTAAGAGTTCTACCTACTTCATTTGAATTTGTTGAATTACACTAAAAGATGCTTCTTTTAGTCACTAACAATTTATTAATTTTACAAAATATTAAAATCATCAAAATATTAATCTGAAATGTTAAATGTCGTTTCAATTTTACTAATGTCGTTTTGACTTCGAACCTAATTTTAACATATTTCTATTTTAATTTTGAAAATTCAAAACACGAAAAATGTAGTCCTTTGGGTTAGCTTTCTAATTCAACTTAAATCCGCTAGATTGGTTGTCGTGTGACAAAGTTATGTACGAATGAGTCACATTTTGAATTTTAGATACATCAATACCTCAAAGTTGTGGGCATTATCCATTGATTCATGTATATCTTTCTCGTCCGACATCTAATTTTGGTGATTCTAGTTGGATTAGAAAACTAACTCAGAATACTACAAATTCTATTTTTCGGGTTTTGCAAAATTTGAAATAAAAAATGATCAAAATCACACTTGAAGTCGAAACGGTATTATTAAAGCTCGAACGACATTTATCACATCCCAATATTAATTTATACAATTTTATCGAATTGAAACGGGAAGAAATTACTATTTTAATTGATTTTTATTCATTTTCTCGAGTATTAATTTATGAAGGTTGTCGTATATTTGAAACTCCGATATTTGATTTAATTAAATAAACTTAAATATAAATAATAAAAGAAAATTAGAAATATTATAATAATGCAACATATTTTGATATTTCCATTAATAACCCCATCCTCTGCGCTTCTTATATACCTCTTCATCTCCGACTCACATTTGAGATCAGAGTCTGAATCTCCGCCTCACTCCGCCACTGTTAAAAAAATCCATTCTTTTTTTCTTCAACCAATGGAGGAGGCGAGAGAGAAAAGATAAGATCAAATTTCGTTATTCCCACTTTTTTTTTGTCTCCAGAAAAAAAAAAAGAAAAAAAAGAAAAAGAAAAAAAAAACCCCTCTTCTAAATCTTGAATCTCGAACCAGAACCAACAATGGCGGAGCAGAAAAAGTACATTACATCAGAAGAGCTGAAAACCCACAACAAGAAGGGGGATCTATGGATCTCAATCCAGGGCAAAGTGTACGACGTCTCCGAGTGGGTGAAGCACCACCCCGGCGGCGATCTCCCCCTCCTCCACCTCGCCGGCCAGGACGCCACCGACGCATTCGTCGCCTTCCACCGCGGCGCCGCCTGGCAGTTTCTGGAAAAGTACTCCAACGGCCTCCACCTCAAGGACTACTCCGTCTCCGACGTGTCGAAAGACTACCGCAAACTCGCCTACGAGTTCTCCAAGATGGGCCTCTTCGAGAAGAAGGGCCACGGCCTCTTCATCTCCATCTGCTCAATAGTGGTAATGCTCGCCGCCACTCTCTACGGCGTCCTCTGCCACGACGGCGCGTGGCTCCACTTCCTCTGCGGCTGCCTCATGGGCTTCCTCTGGATTCAGAGCGGCTGGATCGGGCACGACTCGGGCCACTACCAGGTTATGCTAACCCCTAAACTAAACCGGTTCGCCCAAATCCTCTCCGGCAACTGCCTCGCCGGAATAAGCATCGCGTGGTGGAAGAGAAACCACAACGCGCACCACATTGCCTGCAACAGCCTCGACCACGATCCCGATCTCCAGCACATGCCGTTTTTCGCCGTCTCGTCGAAGTTCTTCAACTCCCTCGTCTCGTACTACTACGACCGGACACTAAAATTCGATTCGTTCACTCGAATGCTCGTAAAAAACCAGCACTGGACATTCTACCCTGTAATGTGCTTAGCTAGAATCAACCTCTTCGCGCAGTCGATTATCCTTCTCTTGTCGAACAAGAAAATACCGTATCGATACAGCGAGATAATCGGGGTGACGGTGTTTTGGATTTGGTACCCTCTGCTTGTTTCTTGTTTACCCAATTGGAGTGAGAGAGTCTTGTTTGTATTGGCTAGTTTCGCGGTGACAGGTGTCCAGCACGTGCAGTTCTGTTTGAATCATTTCTCGTCGCCGGTTTACGTGGGCCCGCCGAAGGGGAATGATTGGTTCGAGAAGCAGACGATGGGGAGTTTGGATATCGAGTGTTCGTCTTGGATGGATTGGTTTCACGGTGGGTTGCAGTTTCAGATCGAGCACCATTTGTTTCCTAGGTTGCCGAGGAATCAGCTGCGGACGATCGCTCCGTTTGTGAAGGATCTTTGCAAGAAGCACGGCTTGCCGTACAACTGCGCCTCGTTTCTGGAGGCTAATTTTATGACGATCAAGACGTTGAGGGATGCGGCTATGCAGGCTCGGGATTTGACGAATCCTGCTCCGAAGAATCTGGTTTGGGAAGCGGTCAATACTCATGGCTGAAAATCTTGATTCAACAATTGGTTTCTATTGCTTTTTTTTTTTATTATTATCAATGTTGATCGGTTTTTTTTAGCAAGAATCGACGTTTATGTTCGTTATGCATTTCTCGATTAATCTGTATTGTTTATGTATGAATGTGATCAGTTTACAAGACTTAATGCCATTGTCTTAGTTTGCTGTTTACCATCAATTGTTGTTGCAATGCTTTCTTGAGAGAGAGAGAGTATCAAGAAAATGAAAACTGTGGCATCTTGATCTGAACAGGCTGTACAGACAAAAACTCTTGTCCCAGCAAAATATCTAGCATTTTTAACAAAGAATCAAGTGCACATTTTTTACAACCACACACGTGGGCACTACTTACACTATAGAGATGGTAATGAAAAAAACAAAAATGATTTTGGATTTTGGGCAACGATTCGAATCAATTATCAGTCATCACGTTCTTGTGGGATAGGATGTCGGATTTTTTAATCCTGTTTATTGGTGTTTGTTTCTTAATTCTTGCAATTAACACTAATTTTTTATATTATTAGTTTATGTGATCAATGTTTAAGCAACTCTTATCTATCTCATGTCCAATTATATGCTTAATTAACAATTAATACATGAATCTTTGTTGATTATCTGAGCTAAGTATCTTCTCCAAAAAAAAAAAAAACCAGAGCTTGCAACACTTGTGCCCTTTGTGGGGGGCATTAGTGTGAATATGTGATTGGAGTTGGGGCCCGCCCAGCTGTCCGGGTCACGGGTCGCTGTATGATGACCCACCCGATTCAAGTGTTGAGTTGGGCTACGTGGCCCATGTGAAGATACGGGCCACGTGGTTGTTAGCTCGGCCCATTTTAAGTCAGACGGGCTGGGCTGGCCGTTATTAGAACAATCACTTTTTTTTGTTGCAAGGGCTTTCTGTTTTTTTTTTTTTAATTCTGAAATACTATTTTTTAGCTGGGTTAATATTTATTATTTAATGATAATAATAACAAAAAAAATTATAGAATATATTTAGGGAAAATGAGGGATAACCCCCTCAATACACAAAATAATAGAGTCCAGGCCCATTTCAATATTTACCATTTGTAAAGAAATCTAAAATTAATATTAGGAATTGTGAGACCCCCCTCACGTGTTTATTATTCCAATTTTGTCCTTTCTTCCTCCACTATTTCTCTCTCTCCCCCCTCTCTTCTCAACCGTCATTTTTGACGTGTTGTTCATTTATTATTTTTCTTCTCTCTCATCTCTCCTCTCTTCTCTCTCTTCCACAATTTTCTCTCTTCTCTCTCCTCTCTCCTCTCTTCTCTCCATTCTCTATCTTCCACAATTTCCTCTCTTTTCTCTCCTCTCTCTCTTCTCTCTCTCTCATTTCTCTTCCCTCATTTCCTCTGTTCCCGTTCTCTCTCATCTCTCCTCTCTTCTCTCTCTTCCACAATTTCCTCTCTTCTCTCTCCTCTCTCCTCTCTTCTCTCTCATCTCTCCTCTCTATTCTCTCTCTTCCACAATTTCCTCTCTTCTCTCTCCTCTCTCCTCTCTTCTCTCTATTCTCTCTCTTCCACAATTTCCTCTCTTCTCTCTCCTCTCTCTCTTCTCTCTCTCTCCTTTCTCTTCCCTCATTTCCTCTGTTCTCGTCTGTTTCATTTTTTCTCTTTAATTTCTCTATATCTTCTCAATACTTTATCTTTTCTTCTACATCTCATCTCATTTTATAACACCATAGTATCTTAAATTGAAATATAATATAGTGAATTAATGGAAAACTATAGTTGACTACCAATTTTTTACAGTTGACATCGGAACAATTGTAGTTGATTATCCAATTTTTGTAGTTGACTCTGGCAACAATATAGTTAACTACCAATTTTTTATAGTTGACATCGTAAAAATTATAGTTAACTATCTAATTTTAATAGTTGACTCTGGAAAAAATATAGTGAACTATCCGATTTTATAGTTGACTCTGGCAACAATATAGTTAACTACCAATTTTTTATAGTTGACATCGTAAAAATTATAGTTAACTATCTAATTTTTATAGTTGACTCTGGAAAAAATATAGTGAACTATCCGATTTTATAGTTGACTCGGATATATGACTGTAAATTTTTAAGTTTTTCGACAACAATGATCTCTTCTTTGTTGTGGACTCTGATAAAACAAATTTCATACGAAATAAATATTTATGAGTCAACAAATAGTGCGACCATAGATATGTAGATCTAAAAAACAAGCTTGTTTACAAACTCCATTTTTGAATAATCAACCATGGAAGAATTCTGAACCGTCGCATATGGTCGTCGCGTACTGTTGCATACGGATCTGTAGGAGTCTTCGATTTGTCGCCCGGAGTCGCTGATAATGGTGTCAGAAAGAGAAATTATGGGGTAAATGCACAAAATTAGGTTAATAGAAGTCGGTGATAGAGATGGATGTATAGGAAACTACCTGTCTTCTTCTTGCCGTTCTTCACCATTGTTTGTCAACCTGTGTTGCTGAACGAATTGCACAATAATGGTATTCTTGTTTTTTTCTTCCTCTGAAGATATGTAGCAAACTAGGGCAATGTTCGAAAGGGGAAAAGATCTGATATATATTGCAGTTTGTTTTTTGGGCGATTTCCTCGGCATAAATATAGCAGACTAACAGAAATGAGAGAGAAATTATATTGAAGAAAATGGTTGAAAATATGTAGTTTTTAGGGAAAACGGTGGGGGGGTCTTTGCTATTACAAATTATAGGGGTAGTTCAGTAATTGACATTATGAGGGGGTTTGACCCATTAAAAATATTATAAGGTGGTTAGTCTTAATATTTTTTCTAATGAGGGGGTTATATCTTATTAACCCATATATTTATTAGAATAATTATAGAGCAAGGGAGTCCAATAAACAGGTTTTTCGTGTGGATAGTTAAAATAGAATTGTCGTGTGACACGATACATAGTGGTGTTTCACATCACAATAACTACTTAGATCTCACTTATTATTATTAGGGCTCGTTCGGTTATTTATATTGGATTAGATTGGATTACATGAGATTGAATTAATTCCCTACTGACTAATTAACTATTTAGTTAGTAGCATGTTCGGTTTCTTAGATTAGATTTCCTATTAAATTTGTTAAAATCAGTTATTATATATGAATTGTCTATAAAACCACTTAGTTTACAATAATAAAATATAATTTTAAGGATAAATTGTATTTTTCCTTTTTAGTCACCCCTGTTAAATTAATCTCAGGGGGAGGGGTGCTACTAATTTAATGAAATAATAGCATTTAATAGCGGACTTTGATTTTAGTAGCGGGTTTGGAAAACTCTGAATCTTACCAACCGAACATGTTATTAACATCTACTATTTAGTCAGTAGCACCTTATAGCGGTAACCAAACGAGCCCTTATTATTATTATTATTATTATTATTATTATTATTATTATTATTATTATTATTATTATTATTATTATTATTATTATTATTATTATTATTATTATTATTATTATTATAAATTGTTTTACAACTATTGACAATTAGCATTATCATTTAATTAATGAAAACAAAACATACACTACTATATATTATGGTAACCATAAATAAATAAAGATCTTTGGTTTATTAAAGAAAGAAAATAAAAATAAAGAAAAAGAATCTTAAGATAAAGATAAATAATCGATTCCCACGTTCCGTACAACTCTCTCCCATTAGTCCCATATCAACAAATCTTCCTTCTCAAATAAAACCTACTCCTTCGGCTCACATTTAACCCTACATTCTCTCCACCCCCCATTAAAACCCATGAAACCATCCACTTCCACTAAACCACCCTCTCCCGGCGGCGGAGGCGGTGGTGGTTCATCCTCCTCTTCCTCCTCCGCCGCGGCGTTCCAAGCATGCGCGGTCTGCAAGTACCAGCGCCGGAGATGCACACCAGACTGCAAACTGGCGCCGTATTTTCCGGCGCACAAGCAGAAGGAGTTCCTGAACGCGCACAAGCTGTTCGGAGTGCACAACATCGTACAAATACTGAAGAAGGTGCCGGAAAGCCGGAGACAAACCGCCGCCGAGACTATTATTATAGAAGCCGACGCACGTGCGAGGGACCCCGTGTGGGGTTGCCTCGGTGTTATCCGTGAACTGGAAAGAAGGATACAGCTCTCTACTAAGGAATTACACACCACTTTGGCGCTTCTTGATTTTTACAGGTCCAGGAATTTACCAAACTCCGGTGTTTACGGTGGGATTAATATTAATAATAATATTAATGTTAATGTTAATCACGTTGTTAATCGAGATAAGAAGCCTATGAATATGATTGGTGGTGTTGGAAACATGTTGTTGCATGAAGGATCTAGTAGCCAAGTAATGAATGGTGATGATCAAAATCAAGAATTACTTGCTGGAGTTGATGCAATGGAACAATTCTTGAATGTATCCAGGTTTTCTTTTTAACTTAATAATAATAATTTGTGTAATTTTATTAGTTAATTGAATCTTAATCATGTTTATTATGGCTAGATTATTTATTAGCTGAGTATTAATAAATGTTTGATTTAATGCAGTGTGAATGAGGTGCCGATAAAAGGTGATGATCAAGGGATGCTTCCTCGTTTGTTCTTGAAAAATTGAAATTTTATAAAAGATATATAGCTAGCTTTTTGTAATTAAGTAGATTAGTTTAGTAGATTTAACATGATTTTCATGTGAATTAATTTAGTTGAATTTCGATATTTAAACTCGGAGTTGTTCAATTTTTAATTGTTAGATTTATAATTTTTTAGTATGATCTTGAAATTAAATGCCCATTTCTTCTCCAACACATCATGTAAATTGCGGACGCCTGCGCCACCGCCTCCGTCTCGTCGATTGTTTCTTCATCTTCGTAACACTGTTTGTACTAAACCTCAAACCGGAAATTCACTATAAACCATCAAATCAATATTGAGTCACTCTCAATAGTAGGATGAAATCAATTTCGATGGGCGGCGGCTCCGATGAAAACGCCATCACATCGAAAACGATCGCCGCCACCACTTCTCTTTTGTTGAAAAGTTGCAAATGAATTAAGCATGCAACATCCCACTTTGAATAATGGGCTTTGGGCCCTCAACATTTTGGAATGGTAATGGGCTTTGGGCCCTATTGAGGTCGGCTTGTAATATAGCCTGGAATGAAATTTACCGTTGTGTAGCCGGAAAATGACAAAAAGCAAAGTAATACTCCTATTTTAAGAATTCAATTACAATATCATTACATTATGTTCCCTAAAAAAATTCTGCATTTCTGCCACAAAGTTTTGTTAATTTCTTTTCAAAACAATTACACCAATTTGAAATACAAACAATAAATAAATAATCGTCTGTAACAATTCAATTGCATGAAACATTTATCCAAAAAAAAAAAAATTGCAATAACAAACTTTGCCTTCTACTAATAAAACAACCCCAATTTTAATTCTCCAAATAAACCCTCAAATTTCTTCAAATTGTAAATGTACAAAAGAGTGATGGCAAAATGTAAATAAAAGTAGTATAATTTCATAGAATTAATTATAAATAAAAAAAAATACAAATCAATTACAGGAATTAAAAAAAAAAAAAAAAGTAAATCAAAATGTCCATTTCAAGATCTTGATTCTGAGATCAACCTTACACTTGGCGTTGGAAGTGACGGCCGCCGCCGGAGTGACAATTTTGCCCTTGGGCACCGCCCCATGAATTCCGTCACATATCACTCTGATCCCAATCTTCTTCATCTTCATCTTTTCCATTTTTACCCCTACCATGGTATCCAAAACAATTTCCAGGGGCAACCCGTTTCTCTTCTTCAGATCCGACTTCAGTGAGTTCACTGAATCGGCATCTAACAGCTGTGAGTTCAGTCCCATGGCAGCGTGAATTACGGTAATGTTTTCTGGAGAGCTGACGAAATTCGCGAAAGAGCCGTTGGATAATTTCACGGAGTTCGATAGTACGGCGATGGAGATCTGATCGTAGATGAAGGAGATCTTTTTGTTGGGGTTTTTCGTGGAGAGGGTGACGTTGATTTTGGTGGTGATGTGGGTGGAGTCGTCGGAGGGTGTGGTGGTGATGTTGAAAGTCGAGATTTTTAGGGAGGCGACGGAGAACAGGGGGCGGTGGGGGTGGTACAGCGCGTAGAAGGCGGCGGCGACAATGGCGGCGAGTAGGAGAATCGCGATTAGGATGAGGAAGGACCAGAAGCAGCTGAGGCAGCAGCAGCGGCGGCAGCTGAAACTTCTGTCCTTGCGGCGGTGGCGGGAGGTGGGAGTTGGACGGTAGGGGTGGCGCGTGGGGTTGTAGAGGTGGGCTTTGTTTGAGTTAGGGTTTGCCGCGATTGGCGCGGCCGCCGCGGCGGCGGCGGGGGTGGGATGGGCGGCGGTGCCGTTTTGCTTGGTAGATGGGTAAACTCTGTCAGTCATTTTTTTCAAGATTTTTGTGTGTGTGTGTGTGTGTTTTATGTGAACTGATAAATGGGATGAAAAGGAGGAGGAGAAAAGAAGGGATAATGTAGAATTAGTGTGGTGTGAGTGATAATAAATAAAAAATGAGGGATTCCTTGTTAAAGAATAAAGAGAGTAAATAAGTGAAGTGTGTAGAGAAATAAAGTATAATATTTTTTTTTCCAATTTCAATTGGAAAAAATATATCAATTGGGAAATGTTACAGTGAAATAACAACTAGCAATGGTTGCATCTATTTTCACTTTAATTTTAATTTATAATTTATCACAATATATATGGCTTTTATCTGCTGCATGGCTGGTTTTTGTATCTATATTCTATATGTACATGTGCGTGTGTGTGTGTGAGAGAGAAATCAATCACTGATTAAGAGGTGCACATCTTGTTGTAATCTCGGCTACGGGTTGACACGTGGACTGTAATTAAATTAAAACAAAAGCGAACCTTCTCGTTTGACTGTTTGGCTTGCCACTTGAAATCGCATTTGTGTACTAACACGCTTTTATGAAAATTTCAGTATGGGTCTTCTACTTTCTGTTATTTGCATAAATGGCAAAGAGTGATACAAGTGGAATAAGAGTCTGTACTCCAAAGTGGCTCTACCAGTTGCATTCAATTTTTTGCATCAAAAAATTCAATGAATCATTCTTAATTTCCTCATCTCATTTATTACTCGGCCGGCCCCGGGGTTTCAGGAAAATTAAGTGCAAAGGATTATAAATAAGTCGAGTTTGATTTGCTCGAAGCTCGAATAAATGCCATCAGATTTATCCCCCGTAACAATATTCGACGGGTT